ATGAACGTTATTGGGAATTTTATGTTTTCATGTACAGTAATGGAGACGATTACTTTTCGAGCGTTACATCCAATACACCGGTGATGTGTTATTATACGATTTCATAGGGTACTACCGTGACAGCAGATTTCAGCTCCTACCGAATGGAGCACTGAAACCGACGGCCATAAAACACATGAAGTCTGATTAGCACGAGCACATTAAACATACATCACCATAGGCGCACTATACAAAGGACTTTATAGAACTAAGGGCGAGCTGCAAGGGGATGCCTACATTCACGCGCAAAACATAATTACCGCTACACTCAACAAAGAATACACAAATCACTGTCGTCTACTAATCCTCCAAGGACTACAACGACGTGGTGATCTACTAGTCCACGAGGTAACTGGATGGATTCGTATTACAATAATATGCGATCAAAACCACATACAGAAACAACTACCCCGACATTGTCGTGGCTGACAAGCGCAAGAACCGCATCACCATAGCTGAGATCGGGATCACCTCCCAGAACAACATGGCCTCGGCAAGCAGATGAAATTCCAGACGTTCGACAACCACGACACGGGGTAGTAATTATACCCTGGGTCATGACATACACCTTCGTGTTGAGGGCGCTGTGAGAGGCGGCTGCAGATTATGTGACCTACACGGTAGCCACAATACTATTACCACTAGTCAACAAACAGCATAGCGACATGAGGCCACACTGTTATATCTGCTATTATAAAGTGGCACTTAGTTTGACTAACCTACTCCGCTTCTAGTTTCGCCGAAACTGGTACCTTCCACTGGTAACCTGACAACGACCTAAACAATAGCACATTAATATCTACCAATAATGCCATAATGTAAACCAACATTCCGCCATGAAACGCAATAGACACGAAATAATAGTGGCGAAACGATTAAGCACGGTTACTCCTTCTCCTCCACCTTCAGCCTGGCGCCGGCGTTGGTGACTTTGACGCCCAGCTTGCGGGCACGGTCAACAATGACTCTGCGCTTCTTGGCGGAGACGCTGTGCGCGATTTCGGCAATGTGCGTCTTGTTGTGCATCAAGAGCACATCGATCTCGCCGGGGTTGTTGATGACGACCTTGTAGTACCCGCTGGGCAGCTTGTGGCGGGTCTTCTTGTCGGTGCCGTATCCGATCTTGGGGGTGAGCACGGTGCCCTTGAAGCGGCGCCTCACCCTACAGTCAATACCCTTAGGCTTCCTCCAGCTCTCCTGCAAGCATATTAGGCCGAAAGAACGGAGGCAAATATAACGAAAAGCCAAATTTCCATCAGGGGTTTCCCCAGTGCGTCACCGGAGGCTGCTGGTGGGCTCCATGAAAACCACGGTCACATACACTTCCACACAATTAAAGAACGCCTGAAGCAAGCGATAGCCAACGTGTTAGCGAGTTCCGCTGTCCGCGGACCCGTAACTCCGCCTCGAACGCCCGTCACTGAGACCGTTGTGACAGCGGACCCGTTCCCCGACCTGCGCGCCGCTCCGTAGCCCGGCCACTGACCACGATACATTACACCCACACAAGCATAATTAAAATTCGCACACCCGGTGGCTCAAGAGCCGCCTGAAAGGCAGGGACTCACCTTGACGCGCTTGAAGCGGTCGGACTGGAAGCGGCGGAACTTTTTGGTCCGCTTGTGGACCAAGCCGTTGAACTTCCTGATTGCCATGGCTTCGCGACTTTACGATATGCAATTTTCGGAAACGAAAAGTGCTTCTACGGGTGTTTTCAATCCGCGGCGCCCGTAACCCCCATAAGCCTTCGGCCGCGCCGCCGTGTGCCCCTGTCGGTTACCGGAAGGTTCCGCGCAAGGTTATGATTAAGCCAGGGCTTACACTTGATTTAAATGTACCGTGTGTACAGTTATTTTCGCATTCCATCAACACCCATGTTGTCCGGCCTGGTGACGCCGACCGTCAGGCACCCATGACTTGCTAGCTTATAAGCGCTCTGTCAAGATTCATTGGTACCTCATACCATCTGCTTAAAGCCGTTAACGTTACTTCAAAGGTATAACTCGCCTTGTTGGCATTATTTGGTCAACCAGGTTTAGAAATTGTACGTTTAACTGTGTTATCTCCTAAACCCGCATAATCACCTAAGCAATACCTAAACTGTGTGTTACGTAACAACGTACCGATCACAATCACGATATATCAAACCACTATCCCTGCCCGACTCAGAATGGCCTGGACGAGGTGTCCGGACGTTACCTCACCCATTCTACCCCGCCCAAAAAAACAAGAAGAAACGTCACAAATGCCTGCAGTCAGGTGTAAAATTATCAACCGATCATTAGAACATCGCTGAGCACAATGTCTCAGTTTTGCGAGGCCGTTGGCCAACGGCGTTAAAAAAGTTTTCGCTGCAATGCAAGATGCGCCGGGCCGTGCGGCCCGGCGCACCCTCCCAGAGGCTCAGTAGTTCTCGGCATCCTCGTTGTACGTGGTGTCAAGACCCACCTCCTCGTAGTCCTTCTCCAGGGCAGCCAGGTCCTCGCGAGCCTCGCTGAACTCGCCCTCCTCCATGCCCTCGCCCACGTACCAGTGCACGAACGCGCGCTTCGCGTACATCAGGTCGAACTTGTGGTCCATGCGACTAAAGACCTCCGCAATGGCGGTGGAGTTGGAAATCATGCACACGGCGCGCATGACCTTCGCCAAGTCGCCGCCGGGAACCACAGTGGGAGGCTGGTAGTTGATGCCGACCTTGAAGCCAGTGGGACACCAGTCGACGAACTGGATGGTGCGCTTGGTTTTGATCGCAGCCACGGCCGCGTTGACGTCCTTGGGAACGACGTCGCCGCGGTAGAGAATGCACGAGGCCATGTACTTGCCGTGGCGCGGGTCGCACTTGGCCATCATGTTGGCAGGCTCGAAGGCGGAGTTGGTGATCTCGGCCACGGACAGCTGCTCGTGGTAGGCCTTCTCCGCGCTGATGACGGGCGCGTACGAGGAAAGCATGAAGTGTATGCGGGGGTAGGGCACGAGGTTGGTCTGGAACTCGGTGACGTCCACGTTCAGCGCGCCGTCGAAGCGCAGGGAGGCGGTGAGCGACGAAATGACCTGGGCGATCAGACGGTTCAGGTTGGTGTAGGTGGGCCGTCCGATGTCGAGGTTGCGCTTGCAAATGTCGTAGATGGCCTCGTTGTCGAGCATCACGGCCACGTCGGTGTGCTCGAGCAGCGAGTGCGTCGACAGCACGGAGTTGTAGGGCTCCACCACCGCCGTGGACACGCGCGGCGAGGGCCAGCAGCAGAAGTTGAGCTTGCTCTTCTTGCCGTAGTCGACCGAGAGGCGCTCAAGCATCAGACAGCCGAGGCCCGAGCCCGTGCCGCCGCCCACCGCGTTGAACATGAGGAATCCCTGGAGCCCCGTGCAGTTGTCAGCCAGCTTGCGGATGCGGTCCAGGCAGGAGTCCACGATGTCCTTTCCCACCGTGTAGTGCCCGCGTGCGAAGTTGTTGGCGGCGTCCTCCTTGCCCGTGATGAGCTGCTCGGGGTGGAAGAGGTGGCGGTAGGTACCGGTCCGGACCTCGTCGACCACGGTAGGCTCCAGGTCGACGAACACGCACCTGGGCACGTGCTTCCCGGCTCCGGTCTCACTGAAGAACGTCGAGAACGCATCGTCGCCCTGGACTTGCTTGTCGGCGGGCATGTGCCCATCCGGCTGGATGCCGTGCTCCAGGCAAAAAAGTTCCCTGCGCAATAACGTTAACACGGGTCAATATTGGGGATGAACGTTGGACAGCGCGGCGCTGGCCTGCACATGGGCTCCGCCGTCATGCAGATGTGTACACATGGCGGTAGCATCTTTTACACATTCCAACCGACACACAATAGGCACATACCAAGACACGCATTGATTTATAACATCGCAATCGAATACTCCTTTTCGGCCGGAACCAGGCTCGGTTCGCGTCAAAAATTGCAGCGACTTCACTACTTACCAGCAGGCATTGCCGACTTGGATGCCGGCTTGTCCGACGTGGATGCTAATAACTTCTCTCATTTTGTCGTCTAGATACACGTTGTGCGTTAGCGATATGGTTGCTGGTGTTCGCCTTGTTCGGCGCTTGGTATTCGTTGGGTGGAACGGCGCGCGGGAGGGTACGCCTAATGGGCCGCGATTTCGAGCTTATGTGACCTGAACGCGCTTTGCGTGTCAATTTTGAGTGTTCTGCGCTGGCGCTGCGTTCTGGCCCGGTGTGTAATGGGGACTAGGAAAAGCGTGGCATCTCTCTTCGGCGGCTGCTGGGAGGGAAAACCGCGTTCCCATGAGTCAAAACGTTGCACCGCCAGGTTTCATGGCAAACTAATCATATATGTTAGGTTTACCAGTCGGCTCGAAGCACGACACATTCTATGTGCACGTCTTTTTCGTTAGTTTGTCATCATTACACGTTGGTGTGTCTACTCAGATAATTTCCCCTGACCATGCATACACATTTGACGTCGACGGTAATCTTATAATTACCAAGCGGTCGATATTAGGTGTGCGAGTTTCCGGTTTCTCGGTTTAACGTGTAACATCCCCTGTTCTTTATCTATTGCGCTGACAGCGTCTATTCAGAGTGTACTTCTTGTACCGGTTTATTTCGTCAATACAGAAACATCTAACATTCAATTTGCGCAAGTGTTAACTTTAGGTATTTATAAGATGGCTATAGTGCGCTTCACTGACGCGGCGATCATATGTGACACTCCGGTGACGTAGACTGTGCATTTCTTGCTATTAAAACAATAGGCTGCGCGAACCAGAACGCAACTACACCGACAAAAGGTTTTACATTCAAAAATCAATAATATTCCAGTCTAAACATGGTTTTCACTCCCAGGGTCATAGGGATGCATTACTTCCCTGGCTTACAAACTTCACAAAATGTCCAACAGTAATAGGCATAAGCGCAAAGAACTGCAAAACAACGTAGGCACTACACCTAGTGGCACAGGCAAATTAAAAAAGTTTGAAAAATGGCGACAACGGCAGGATTCGAACCTACGCAGGCCGAGACCTAATGACTTAGCAGGCCATCCCCTTAACCACTCGGGCACGTTGCCTTGTTCAGACGCCCAAATTACACATTAATAAGGAATGTAGCATGTTTCAAAGAACATTGAGAAAACAACACAAAGTCAAAATAGGTGGATGGCCACAGATAAACGTGCAACGGTATAGCGATAATATTACAAAGGCAGCTGCTTGGGTGCCGTAATGTGGCGTTCGTTGTGTTTTAGGACGAAGTGCAGGTTCTCCTGTTCAGGACAGCTCCAGTAGTTCGCCTGCGACACTTGGCAACAACTTTCTACTGTAATCACTCACCTTCAAAAGGTACGCAATGGGCAACGCGGTGATGACCACGCAGAACAGGTTGGAGTAGTAGAACGTGGCACGTTCCTGCTCAGCCATGTTCGCCTGCACACGAAGTCAATTGCGCACGTTACTACAGCCTAATTACCCTTCGCGATAGCCGGCTCGTGCTGAAGCGCGGCAAAGGGATGGTCTTGTACAGCGCTCTAGACAGTCTCATTTCACGAGCTCATTATGCTTGATCCTTTAAAGTGGCGATCCCGTCGTGCGGAATCGGTTGTGAATAATATTAGAGCTCTTTATATGAATATGGATATATATTGGAGCGTTACATTAGAGCAGTACCAGACGCCCTCTTCGGGTGGCCGGATCATAGGGTGAGGTCAGACAGTATTGCGCGTCGATTCAGACAACTTTACGCCGTACACCATGTTTGAAATGATATTTGTCGTAATTTTGCCACTTTTTAACGCTTTAGTTCCAAATGTTTTTTTGCAGCTGTAAGCTTCTATTACACACTGTGAATCACTCCGTTATGAGACTGATAACTGTTGTGACACCTTAATGTACTCACGAATTGAGGCATCATTACAACATATTACTTTCTTTACTTTCAGTTTTCGGGGCGAACACACATAAGCATTCACCATCGCCAACAGGAAGGAATCACCAACACCCGTCTTTAAAAGCCATTGCTTTCACCTATACACATCACGACATTCACAAATAGACTATAGACAAACATTGTTCGGTTTAGAAGTGGCATTGAGGCCCGCACTGGGATGTCAACATCGGCGCCTTCGTACGACATTAATGGCTCCGTTTTACCATCGATCGACTGGAAGGTAGGAAAATGCGCGCCTTGCAGCATCTTTCGCTGGTGTGTTACGTTGCCTCACCGCCAGGCGCCAGCGTCGACCGCGCTGAGGGATCCTCCTATGTCGTAAGCTGCTTTGGTGACCTAGGCCTTCCGCCGAAACCGTACGGCTTAGGACGCCCAAAGCGGACCCACCTACGCAACAACGGGATGCTAGATGGCCCTTATTACCACCAAAATTACGAGGAAAAGCAGTACGACGCCGCCTTCAACAGCGATGATGACGACGATGAAGAGGATGAGATGGACGACATCGAGCGTCAACTGCTGGAGGCGCAACGCGAAAAGCAACTGAGCGACAGGCTGGAACGACTGGTGCGTCGTAGCGCTGCGTTGGAGGTCCCCAAGACGTACGTCGAGACCCAGGCGATGTTTCCGCCAGGCAACCCAAACGACGACGCTGCCAACAGGGAAGAAGAAAACATTCAACTGGGCGAGTTCATGAAACAACAGGGCGCCGGAACCGGTCGTGCCGGTTCCGGCGCCGATCCCTTGGATGGAGAGGCCACAATGGTTACAGCCCACGGTAGGCGCGACGAGCCCCTGGAAAAGAGGCTCGAAAGGCAAGCAAAGAGTGCGCCTAAATACACAGACGAAGAACTGGAACGTATGAGAGCCGAAGTACCGCCGTTGAAGCCGCAGTTCGATGATTACGCGCCCGTGAGACTACCCTGCAACGCCAACTCCACCTCGGAACTCATCACCGGCATCATCCAGTTGCCCGACATCAAAGACAAGAAGGCACTGCAGGAGTCAATAAAAATCAAGGACTACACAGAAATGGATGACGAGCCCATCGAGGAAGACGACATCTGGCTGAGAGGGATCAACGAAGAAAGGGCGAAGCGAGGTGAACCGGAGCTGCAGATCGCCGAGGGACAGAAACCAAGTGACAACCCCGAATTCGTGAAAGAAATGCGAGCATTACGGCTGAGAGAAACGCAGGACCTTCGCCGCGTGGCCCACGAGGCCCGGGAGAGACGGGAGGAAATGAAGCACACCTTCTACCGCAAGCTGCCGCGCAACGAACGGGGCTACGCGAAGCTCTCCGCCGCCGACATCAAGCAGCTGCACTTCGAAGAGGTCAAAGAGGAGCTCAGAGCACGCGGGCACCGCACATCCGGGGGCGAGAAGGTCGCTCGCCGTCGGCTCGAGTGGGCCCTTGAGGAGACCGACGACTGGCGGTACCGCAACATAGTGGCGCAGCGCCTCGACGAGTCCAACGAGAATTTACCGGAGCACGCGCGCGAACGAATCGTCGAGCTGAAGAAGAAGGCCAAGCTTATCAAGGAGTCCGGCTGGAATAGCGACATGATGACGGCTATCGAACGACTGAAGGCGCAACAGGAGATCATCAGATTCCGCGACGACCCGGTACGCGCACAAGCAACCATGCAAATCACACTGCAGGTAGGGTACCTCGACTTGGACTACGACGAGGCGTCTCGTGGCGTTTCGAAGGAGGAAGCGGAGGAGATGCTGAACGCCCCAGTAGTCCACAACACGGCGTTCATCGAGGCGATGCAGAACCCAAGTGAGTTCGCCGCGCCGAGCTAACCGACGCGCCGCAGTCAACCGCCTTCCCGACATCATTCCGCGCACCTTCAACCTCCAGCCAGACATCGAACGGCCCTACCCGCGGTACGTCGCCGGACACAGGACGGAGCTCGAGGAGCTGAAGAAGGAGTACCTCTCCTTCAAGGGCGGGATCCACGAGGAGACCCTGCCCGAGATCTCGCATCGTTACGAGGTCAGCCTCGACTTCCTCGGCGACGCCTGCTGCCGCCTCGGCGCCATCCCGCCGGTCCCGCTGGACACGCCGCTGCGCGGCATCATCTCGTACAGCGCCATCTGGGACCTGGTGGAGTTCTTGAACATCGCGGACACCATCGAGATCGAGGCCTTCTACAGCATCATGAACATTGCCGAGATCGCCGCGGACATGAACAAGAGCGTCGACGAGGTGGTGGAGGCCTGCGGCCGCCTGCGCATCAAGCTGCCCTACGGCCCCGCGACGCGGCTGAACCTGCACTGCCTGAGCGTGCTGGAGAAGTTGCTAATCAACCCGCACCTCGACCTCGAGCTGCTGGCCCACGACCCGGCGCGGCGCGACCCCTTCCGCGACGACAGCGACACCCGTCCCAACTTCCCCAACTCGATGCAGGACGACATCCACCGCGCCGCCGTCGAGCAGGGCGCCATGTTCGACCAGCCCGAGTTTCACGGGGATGTTGGTGAATAGGTTGACGGTTGTGTTTCGTAAGGTGAACAAGAAAGTTCTTACCAGCCTGCTACCGTCACTGCCACACATACCAAACTATTGTCAATTACACTAGATGTTACAAAGCCCAAAGCGTTTGACCAGCTGCAAACACCGCGCCGACTAAGCCTGGCCCTCGAGGGCCTCCTCGTTGACCGCCAGCTTCTCGCTGACGGACTGCTCCTCGCGCTTGCCGATGCCGGAGACAATCATGTCGATGCGCAGCAGCATGCAAGTGGCCTCGATGGCGCTCTTGAACACCTGAGCCTTGACGGCGTAGGTGTCCAAGATCTTCCTCTCCATGGTGTCGCAGATCTCGCCAGTCTCGCCGTTGAGGCCCGCGTTGACCTTGCCGGCCACGTGCAGCGACGTCAGCTCCGTGATGACGCGCACGGGGTTGGCGCCGCAGTTCTGCGCCAGCGTCTTGGGAATCACCTCGAACGCCTTCGCCGCAGCGCGATAGGACCAGCGCTTGAGCCCGGCCTTGCTGTCGAGCTTGGCCGCCAGCCGGCAGGAGACCTCGATCTCCGTGGCGCCCCCGCCGGGCAGCAGCTTGCCCTCGAGCATGATGTTGCGGCACACGTTGACGGCGTCCTGCAGGTTGCGCTCGATCTCGTTGAGCACGTCCTTGGACGACCCGCGAAGCACGATGGAGCAGGCCTTGGGGTCCGCGCAGTTGACGAAGTACGAGTAGTACTCGTCGCCGATTTTCCGGACCTCGAAGAGGCCGCACTCGGTGCCGACGTCGCACGGCAGCAGCTCTTCGGTGCGGTTTACGATTGTGGCGCCCGTCACGCGGGCCAGCCGGTTGGCGTCCGTCTTGCGGATGCGCCGGATGCAGCTGATGCCGGCCTTGGACAGGAAGTGCTGCGCCAGGTCAGAGACGCCCTTCTCGGTGACGACGACGTTGCAGCCCGTCTGGATGATGTTCTGGCACATGTTGTAGATCTCCGTCTCCTCCTGCTCCAGCAGCTTGGCCCACCCCGCCTCGTCGGAGATGTCGACGATGGTCTGCGACTCGCCCTTTTTGTACTCCAGCGTGCAGTCCAGAATCAGCACGCGCGGGTTCACGATGCGGCGCGCCATGTTGGGGTGCGTCACGTCCTTGTTGATCAAGACGCCGTCCAGCACGACCGAGTCCTCGGGCATGCCGCCGGGGATCTTCTCGACCTTGGCGTAGCGCTTCACGTCGATGACGTTGCGCCCGTCGGGCCTCGTGACCTTGACCCTTTTCACTGCATTGAGCGCCAGCGAAGCGATGAGGTGCCCCCACTTGTGCGAGAACTTTGTCTCCAGACTCGACCGGATGACGCTCTTCACGGCCTCGTCGTCGTCCAGGTCGACACGCGTGGCAATCGCGTCCATGACCTCGAGTGCGTCCTCGAGCGCCTCCATGTAGCCCTCGACAATCTTGCTCGGGTGCATTTCACGCTTCAGGAGCGGCTCCGCGTTGGCGAGCATCTGTCCGCTCAGGATGACGCAGCTGGTCGTGCCGTCGCCGACTTCCTCGTCCTGCGACCGACTCAGCTCGATGAGGCTCTTCGCCGCGGGGTTTGAGACGTCAATCTGTGACAACAATGAGTAATGAAGTTACAAGCATAAGGACGGATGCA